GAGAGCCCCCACGGAGCGGAGGGGCCCGCGGCAGCTCGGCGAGGACCGGGGTGTCGGGCGAAGCCTGGCTGAGGGCCCGGGGGGCGGAACGGGGCCGCGGGTCTCCGCTTTGCTCCTGGGCGAGGAAGGCTGGAAGGAAAGGGTCTGTGCTGCGCGGCGGGGCAAAGGCCTGCCGCCGTCTCCGAGCGGAAAGAGCTTCACCGGGTGCGCTCTGAGCCGCGGACAGATCCGCCCCTCCCGCGCCCTCCCCGCCGGAGACCGCACCGAGGGATGGGATGCGAAGGGTCCCCCTTCCCGGGGTGTCCGATCGCCGCTGTCTCCTTCAGCCGCCTCGTTCCCATCGCGGGGAGCAACAAGACGCAGTGCCTCCGGCAAGGCTTCCCCAGCAAGAAACTTCAACAGCACGTAGAGACTTCTTCTGGCCGGGCGAGCACCCGGCTGTCGGGGAAAGTGCCACCCCTGGTGCCTGCCCTGCCCCCGGACGGCTCCAGCCTGGAGCGCGGTTTTAGGGCCGGTGTTACTTCCCAAAGTGGAAAGATTGCTGTGCCTTGGTGGACATCCGACCAGTGTTCATTCTGGATGTGCTGGCAAAAAATCATAAACCAGGATCGCAAAAGAAGAGACTTACTGATTAGAACCATTAGAAACAAACCACTGGAACAAAATAATTTTCCAACTACCAGATCTGTTTGCAAAATTAAACTTATATTCAGAGATAAAAACTTACATGGAGTTTGTAGCATCCTCTCTGGGAAACTGAGTATCATCCAAAATTGGGCTCCAGTGCAAATCATTATGAATTTTAGTAAAGGCTTTAATTTATTTTACTGTGTTGTTCCGATTGTGTGGTTCATAAGATTTTGCCTGGCAAATTGATCTCTCTCTGAAAACTGCCACAAATAAAACTTTATTCATATTACTGCCCTGCTAAGTTAAATGTGTGTCTGTAAAGTTGCTCAGACAGAAGTCTGTGAAGTATCAGAGTTTGCCCGTGGGTTGGTACTGGCTGGCGTGGAGGGGACGGGGTGTAGCTATAACCAATGGCATCATACTTCAGAGAGGATCAAAATACCCCACACTTCATTTTAGATGTTCAGCAGTGAAACAGTCTGGAAACCAATGTAGAGGCAAAATGATTATAGGGGAAGGAATGTGGTCAGAAAGGAGTTGGAGAGATAATAAAAAGGAAACAAAAACTCTCCTGAGAAGTCAAAAATGAGATAAAACTGAGTGGGTGGAGCCACAACCTGTTAGAAGATGTGTTATGTTCTAACTTCAAGACATAAGCTTATGATTTATAATGTATTACAAATGCTGACCTTCTTAACTGAGTCCAAAGTCAGAATCAGAATTCTTTAAAAATAAAATTAATATTTCTAAATATTTCTAAGCAGTATTAATAAGGCTAAAGGAAATAAAAATCAGCAAACATGAGCATTTTGCGTCCTTGTCAGTATTGGTGAAATGACATGGGGAAATGGAACCTGATGGAGCACAACTCCGCCCTTTTAAATCTTTTGAGTGCTTGATTGTGTGTTCTTCCGACATACATGGCTCTTTTGTATGTACAAAATATTCATATATTTCTCTTCTAAGATGCTTCTTGTGCATGACGGAAGTCTATTTTCTTGTGCTATAGAGCTTTTTATTTGTAGCTTGCTGATGTGAATCCAGGAGGGGTTTCCCTCCTGAGCTGGAAGTTGCCCTTGATGTTTTGTGGTGATCCCTCCTGGGAGGAAGCAGGGTGGGCCTTCCTCCCCCAGCCACCTTGACTGCTTTGTGGGCTCTGATGGATAGAGTTAACAGAAAGAACAAGAACAGACGGGCCTGGAAAAATGAACAAATCTGTCACTTTTAGCAGAAGCCCTATTCCTCACGTAGGAGGTGGGCAGGCAGGCAAGAGGGGGATGCAAAGTTTCCTGTGCCAGACATGATCATTGCCACAGATTATCAGTCTTGCACATTTGACTAGCACTGTAGCACCCAGCTTCTGCAGTTCTGGCTTTAATAAAGTAACACCAGCCATGCAAATTAGACATTACTTCATTTTCATTAAATGTCACATGCGGCGCTAGGCAGTTATGTTGATTTTCTCTGTATTGACAACAGGCTCTGACTCGTACTGTGAACAAAGAAGAGACGCTCAGCAGGAGGATGTAGATACTGATATATAAGAATATGGCGTAATTAGTGATGTGTGGCAAAGAGCTCCCAAGCTAGGAGTGCGGATTTGCAAATCCAGATGTTTACAGAGGGCCAGGAATTACATTACTCCATCTAATTACAAACTGCCTTGTTAATCAATGTCATCGAGATACAATAGGGCAATTGTTATTCAGAGCAGTGTCAAGGTATTAACAAACTGTAATAGATGTTGTAGATATTAGACTGAAACTAACGTATTTGTCAAGCAGAGCTCTTTGTTTGTATGATGTTTGCTTTTAAGAAATACTTTTGTGGATATGGAGAAAATGTGTGAACTGTCCATTGCACAGTAACTAGCCATGACCTTGATGTTGACAGATTGACCACAGACTATCAGTTTGTAAAACTCTCCTAATGTTTCACCCATGGTTAAAGAAAAACAAACAAACAAACAATTTAGAAATAATCTCGAGGGAAAAAAAATTAATGGAATGGTCCTCATAAGTTTCTGAAGAACCACTTCAGGACCGGTTACTATCCTGCTCAGGTCATGAGAGGGTTGCTTACTTTGTTCCAGAAAAAAATATGGAAAGACCAAAATTACCTGTTTTTTTACCTCTTACAGAAGCAAGTTTAGAGCCCAGAGGTACTGAACTGTTATCTGTAGAAACCCAAATATAGCTTAGGAACAAAGCAGTTCAAATCAGGCGCAGCAGCAACATTACCTGCCCTGCATTACACTGTCAGTGAGCCTTAATCCTGTTTTAGGAAAATCATCCTTAGAAACTCAATCTCACTAGACATTTAACATTAGCTTCACTCACGAAGAAAGCCTCTAAGGGGGGCAAGCATAAGCTTCTCTGAAAACAAGTACAGAGAAATCTACCTTTATTTTTCCTTGGAGAGAATAATTTATTAAGAGTTTAGCTAGCTGTGTATAAAACCATCTTTTCACAGACTACTTGCCTTTTGATTTAATCCTTCTTGAGTAAGAAATGCAAGGTCTGGCCCGTAACTGGATAACTTATATGAAATGCAGTTTGCTCACAGCTCTGAAAATGCAGTTTGTTCACTGTTATATTAGTTTATGAAGTATAAACAGCAAAAAGCAATTCAGGGGTTTATATATGCCCATATAAACTTAAGATAGTTGTCTTTCCAAGCATCTGCTGAGATTCTGTACAAAGTCAGAAGATGGGTGAAAATGAGATTTAGAGCAAAACAGCTCTTGCTGATCCATACTGTGCACTATCTACAACCATCTGATTTGCTGTTGTAAGAGAGGTTTGCATGTATTTACGGTGATTTGCTTATGGTGTCACCTTCAGCTTCCACAGCAAGCAATTAAGGTATCTCAAAGAGCAGACCGAGTTCAGTGAGAGAGTGCACAGCAGGAGCAGATGAACTGTTAAGGTGCCATCCAGCAGAAATTATCTGTAATGTGCCACACCCTGTAGAATAAGAAAGGCCACAAAGACTTGCCTGCCAGCGCAAGTGCAAGTCGTACACAGCAGAGAGAGGACAGAAAATGGCACAGATAGGCTGGTTCAGGTGCCAGGGGAGAACACCACCAGGCCAAGGGAATTCTCTTGTGATCATTTGTGGTTGCAGGAGAAAGATGGCATCGCTGAGGGTAAAACCCATCAGTAGCACGGACACCTAAAGAGTGCCTGTGCTTTCCAAGGTGTGTACCTGAGAATAACTGCCAGGTGATCGTTCGCATATGTTCATATCCAAACGTTCTGTAATTTTATTTGATCAAATGAAACCAGATTGCTTCCCAAAATTAATCACACACTCCTTCCTACAGAAAAATAGTTCTGACTTTTACTTTCAGATCTCACTCTGGCCAGAGAATATCAAACAAAATAAGATTAGTGTTTTCCCTGTACCTTCATGTGTTTTGAAATGTTCAAAAAGATTGTGACAAAATGTTGAAATAAAAATTCACCTTTTGCAATTCACAACCATGGCAAACCTCAGTCTCAGAAATGGGAATTTCTGATGGATACGGGTAGTTGCAAACAGAAGGTCAAAAGGGAAACTGTTACGCAATCTTAACCAAAGCCGGGATTGCAGCAGTACACGAATATAAAATTGTCTGCCTTGAAGGATCATTGGGCTGCACAGATGTGTTTTGTATATTTTGAAGAACAACACAGTTTATTAAGATAATCTGGATAATGTCATCTACTGCTTTTTTTGACTGCCTGCAATACAGTATTTGAATTCTAATCTCCCATATATATATATATTACATGAGGCAACTTTAAAACTGGGAAAGAATATTAGCTCACTGCTAAAGATATTTGAAAACACCATCCTTGAGACAACTATTAAACATTCTCATTTATACAACCATAATTGTCCGCATGTAGTATAGTGCTGTCAAGCTTTTCTTTTTTCTTTTTTTTAAAAAGTGACATTGGATTTCAGTCTTACCTTAAGAGATGTCTGCTTTACAGCTAGATTTCTGTTGCTGTATTTACTGATAACATGCAAGTTAATTCATTACTTGGATGGAATATTAGCAGGTTTTCTTTCAGGTACAAAAAATTCCTAAGTAAGCAATGATGCCAAGGTCAGGAGCTTGATTTGTTTTTCTTGTCATAGACTTCTGTCAAAACAAGTGCATTGTTACAAATAAATAACTTAAACTGGAAATTAGTCACCATTCAGATAAGTAATTATATTTTAACAGGGCAAAATCCCAACCCAAGCTGCCAGAGAACACTCAGCTAAAGCCAGCATGGGTTGGAACAGCGTGTGAGCTCACTGTAATTGTAAACGTGGCCACCTTGGTCATGCCGCCTCTTCAGACTTAAAAGAATTAAGACCAAAGCTGTCCAAATGTTAACTGAACCTCCTGATAATTAGGGGTTATTAAGGGCTGTTGGCTGGCTTTATTTTCTACCAAAGTTCTCTTGTATTTGTGGATTCTATTTACGCGCAGAATTAAGAGCTCTGTTTGAACAGGTAATCCAATCTCCTCTGTAATGTAGCCAACGATTTTTTTTTTTTCCTGGCCCGTAACTTTGACCATGTTTCAGGAGGTATGGTGAAACTGCAATACTAAAAATAATCTCATTCAATATATTTTATGTGAAAGGATAAACCAGACCACCTTACAAATGCTGGGTAAAATTATCAATTTTTTTTACTTGCGGAGGAAGCACAAGAGGTGCTGAGGAAAACT